AAAAAAAAAAAAAAAAAAAAAAAAAAAAAGGTTGGTGTGGTGCGAGAGAAAAGGCTTGTGTCAGCCCCTTATCACGATGATGCAGGGTGATCAGGCATTGCCGACGGGGGAAATCGGCGATGCTACTGGTAGTGCCGAGCATCTTTGGCCAGTCACTACCCCCCACTATTTGACTCAGAGAGAAAGGTGGTTCTGGGACAATATATCGAATTTACCCTCAGTCGTAGAAGTCCTCTCGTGTGAGGGCATACTCACAGTAAAACCTTTATTCGACTCCTCTGGGGATGTGTTTGAAGTCGCATGCATCCAGGTTGGACCGTTATCGCGTTCAGAATCTTCAGATACATTTAGAGAGCTACGAATGCTACTGTGTACCGCGCAAGCGCGGAAGCGCAGCCACTCGGGAGCAAGACCGGCCGGCGGGCAGGGCTTGAAGCGCACCGAACGAAAAGGATTGTGAACGGGCCTGGGCACACCACTCTTGAAACGGGCCCAATCTTGGGACGTCGCCACACTCCACTTAGCACGGCAACAACCTGGTTGTTTTTGGTGTTTTTTTTCGTTTTTCGTTTTTCCATTTCGAGGGGAAACTCATAGTAGCACGCATTTTGCAAGCCAGCATTCTGCTGTGCACACCTCCAAACCCACTTCGGCCCGGCCCTCTGAAAATCGCACCCTCGCGCGATATCGCTCGAAATGGAAAACCGGCCGCCGTCCATGAAAACGGCCCGCCGACCGCTTTTCGTGACCGCTGGTCTGCCCCCCTCCAACCGCACTCGCGACAACCCGGCCTACCGGTCTCTGCCCCGACAGCGACCGCACCCTTCAATTACCCATGTTACCGCCCTATAAACCCCTTTCGCCGTCGTAGACATTTCCTGAAAAAGAAGTCCTGGCTACGCCACAAAATGCAACAGGGTATAGCGCAGCCTCCTGGCTGCGAACTGGTAGTGTATGCCCTGAGAGTACGTGACACTTCGGGGCCAAGCCAAACTGCACTGACCTGCGGTCATGCATACTTGCAGTACGACTTCATCGGACGCATCTGACTGTGTTTATGTTATGACCAGAAACAGTCAAAGTCTGACAGAGGATGCTCTAATCCCAATCACGCACACACACACACACACACACACACAACACACACACAGAGGAGGCGTTTGTCGGTGGGTAAACATGATGATCCTCCAAGGGTACAAGAGAGGCAGAAGCACTCGTTGATTCATTGAGAGGATGAGATAGATGAGTACTAGCAAGAAAAATGAGATAGATGAGAGAAGAATATAGCTTTAAAAAAAAGAAAAAAAAAAAAGAAAGAAAAAAAAATTAAATGTCATACACCTCTTCTATTTTTCGTTGTCTTAACTTAACGGCTCAAAGTTTTTTTTAATTTAATTTTTTAATTTTTATTTTTTTATTACATCTAAGCTTTTTTTTTTCCCTTTCAACCAGCCTTCTTGTTTATTCATTCATTCATTCGTTCATTCTTTCGATCGTTAGGTAGTGAAGTGAACAGGCCCTTCCATTACCCAAAGAAGTATCAATTCAACCACGAGTACAAAATCGAGCCAGGGGCATATATACTCGTTCTCACTGATTCCTTCCCTTCTTCGCGCCTGTTTTTTTTTTTTTTTTTCATTTTTTCCCCTTTTGCATTCATGCATCTGTGGTCCCTCAGCAGCCAGATATCGAGACGAGCAGCTCCTGATTAACGTACTTCCGGCCCCCGGCCACCTCTCCCTCCCCGCCCCTCCCCCCCCCCCCCTCCCCCTCCCCTCTCCCCCCTCTCCCCCTCTCATTCATTCCTTCATCCTTACCTTCCTCTTATTCATACTTAAATCCTTTTCTTTCACTCCTTCATTCTTTCGTTCCGTCTCGCCCCTCTCTCATTCATCCATCCAAATCGACATCCCTTCTTTCTTTCTTTCATTCATACATTCATTCATTCATCATTCATTCATTCATTCTTTCCTCCTTTCCTTTCCATTCACCCAAATCGAAATCCCCATCCACTCTTTCTTTCATTCATTCTTTCTATTCGTTCTTTGACCTTTGACCGATGCATTCTTTCATCCATTCGATTCTCTCTTGATTGGCGGCTCCTCCTTCGGTTCAGTCACGCAGTGGTTCTTTCATCATTCTCTGATTCACTCTATCTCATTGCTTCCTAACTAAACACCAAAACACAACACACACACACACACACACACACACACACAGATCTGATTCACCCTGTCTCAATTCTTCCCAACTACATACTCACACACACACGCACGCACACACACACACAGACACAGACACAGACACAGACACACGCAATCACACAGATCCATGAGTCGGTGAAACTCCGACGAAACAGTTTGTCACAGCCCCTCGTTTGTTGTCCTCTTCTCTCTCTCTGCCTACGGTTTACCGGGCAGTTCTATTTGTGACGATATATATATATATATATTTCCTCCTCCTTTTCCTTACCTCTTTGCCTTTTGGCTGCGTGCAAGTGGGTCCTTGCGACACACGGGGATGGGGGCAGCCTGTGCTCAACCATCATCCACGTGGCCGGCCTTGTACGTAAGAGGTGATGAACAGGCGGAGCTTTCCTTCCTTCCTTCCTTCTTTCCCTTTTCTGTTTTGTTTTTTCGCCTTTGCGCTCCGATACACTGTGTGACGATATATATATGAGTCGATGAAACTCCGAGGAAACTGTTTGTCATAGCCCTCGTTTGTTGTCCTCTTCTCCGTCCCTTTCTGCCTACGGTTTACCAGGCAGTTCTGTTTGACGATATATATATATATCACAGCCCCTCGTTTGTTGTCCTCTTCTCTCTCTCTGCCTACGGTTTACCGGGCAGTTTTGTTTGTGATATGTGTGTCTGTATATATCTATTACTATCTCTGCGGAAAATCATCATTGCACAGGTCACCACGTTCTCTGCGCAAGCTCAATCAGTAGATCTCGCTGCGGAAAATTTCATGCGATTGGTCATCATTTTTTGAGTACCGTTTTCTCTCCGAATGCTCAACATCAACTTGTAGCAACCTTTTCTCTTCTCTGCGAATGCTCATCGTCAAAAAATGGTGGAGCTCCCTTTTTTTTCTGCGAATGCTCATCATCAACGGATGCATTTATTCATTCATTCAGTCCCACTCCGTCAACGATCGAACGGGAGCAGAAACAAAAGTGGCACGGATTTATACTAGTAATAACAGTTTTTTAAAACAGTATCTTAATTTGCTTGATGAATATCTTAATTTTTAAAACAATAGCTTAATTTGCTGATGAATTACCCATTCATTTGATGATCTGTAACTCGCTCGGTTGCTGTTTTTTTCCTTTTTTTTAATTTGTTTTTGTTTAGTCCAGTAAACTACAAGTCCTATCCACGTCCCCCCAACCCTCCACCATATCTCCTCAGTCATTCGATCCATCCATTCATTCCTCTTTCCATCCATTCCCTCCGCCCATCTATCGCTTCGTTCATTCATTGGTTGAATCGTTGCTCAGTTTCGGTTTTGATCAGTCAATCAATCAACCAATTATTCAATCAATCAATCGATCAATCAATCAGTCAATCAATCAATCAAACAAATCGAGCGTCGCGATCTGTCATCATGATTCGGATCACGGTGAAGACAGTGGCGGGAATTCGTCGCAGAGCGTTGGATGTGGCACCAGATATCTTGGTAGGTTTTTTATCCTCTTTTTTTGTTTTTTATCCTCTTCGAGTTCTCTTTTTTCGCCTTTTTTTTTTTTTTCAACTCCATTTTAGTTTTTTTTTTTTTTTTTTTTTGGTCGCGAAAATAAGAACCGATCCCCTGAACGGATACTTCCGGTACCCTCTGCGCCCCTTTATTTTTGGTTTTCATTTTTTTTTACTCCCTTTTGTTTTTTTTTTTGGGTCGCGAAGTCAAGGGGCGTTGTTGATGATTCCAGGTAATACCATTTTTTTATTTTTTTTTTGTTTTGTTGGTTATCTGAAGAAAAGGACAGGACGGGCATAATATTAAAAAAAAAAGAAAAAAAAAGGAAAAGAGGGGACGGCTTGCTTCGATGGGACGGATGGCAGGACACGTTCTCTCATTTTGTCAAGAACCTGGCACCTTAATTTAAAAAATAAAGAAAAAATTGGGGGGGGTGGTGGTGGTGGGGGGGGAGGGATTAGAAAACGAAAAAGAAGGGAAAAATGACGATTCTCCCATGGACGTGTTCTCCTCTCTCTCTCTCTCTCTCTCTCTCGTTCTGTGTTTTTTTTTTTTTTTCCCATTTTTGGGCTTTGGGAGTGCTCTCGTTCAGTCTGCCAATTGTCGTTAAGCTAAGTGAAGGGGAGGGGCGAAAGCGCGAAATACGACAAAAAAAAGAAAAAAGAAAAGACATTAAGTATAATTTTTTCACGTCAAAAACTTCCTTCCGCCAATTTTCAGCCTGTCCTCCTTTGTTGGTGTTGTTGCTTTTTCGCTCTTTCCTTTTTCGGCTGTCCGTTCTTGTTTTTCTTTCTTCTTTGGGTCGCTTTCAAACAACTCCTCCCATCTCTCTCTCTCTCTCTCTCACTCCCTCGTTGCTCTTCCTCCTCAGCTGAAACTTGCTCCCTCCCCTCTTTCCCCTCCCATTCCTCCTTATCTGCCCTGCATGACCTCTGCCCTCCCTACCCGTCGTCTCTATGTACGCCGCTTCCTTCCTCGCTGGCGCGCACTCCTCCTCCTCCTCCTCCTCCTCGTCCAGGGGAAATGGCAGTCATCGTCATCGTTATTAGACTGCTATGCGACGCGATCATCGTTTCATCATCCTCCCCCTCTCCCATCAACCCCCTCTGGCATCATCCACCTCTCCTATCATCGAATCACCATCGTTGTCTTCATCGTCGCACAACTTTGATGGGGAGGGGGGACACAACATTGATTACCGACAATCAATCAAATGCACCTAATCAGTCGAATCAATTAGGCTAATCAATCAAGCCAATCAAGTCAATGAAACGAATCAAGTCAATCAAAGCAATCAAGGCAATCAAAGCAATCAATCCATTGATGATTGATCGATTAGCTTGATTGGTTCTGATTTGATTTGACTGAGTTGATTAGTGTGATAACGTCGAACTTTGATTCGACTGGTTTGATTAATTAGTCGAGTGATGTTTGGAAAAATCAGTCGATCAGACCAAGCTAATTAATCAAATCAAGTTAATTAATCAACCAAGTTAATTAATCAATAAATTGATGATGATTGTAAAATTAATCGATCGGCTGATATACATTTTCCTCGATGTGTTCCATCGAATGGTGAGGGAATGGAATAGATTCTAATTGGAAAAATGTTTCTTGATTTTCTTTGATTTGCATTATCGTTTTTTTTTTTCAGCCTTTAAATGGTTGTTACGGATCTGGTCATGGCCAACGAATTGATGATGATGATGTGGATGTTGATGTTGCTGAATCGTTTTTTTCCTTCTTCAGCCTTTGTGATCTGGTAATGGCCAACTAATTGATGATGAAGATGATGATGATGATGATGACGATGATGTTGCTGTTAAATCCATTTCTCGATTTTCTTTGATTTGCATAATTGTTTTTTTTTAATATTTATAATCTTTTATTGGTGGTGGTTGATCTGGTAGTGGCCGACGAATTGATGATGATGATGATGTTTCTGGTAAATCTGTTTCTTGATTTTCTTTGATTAGAATTATTTTTATTTTTATTTTTTGGTTCTGAATGATTGTTCTTGATGTTGATCAGGGTATGGACTCCTGCTTCGCGGGATGAGAGAGCAGGTGTGATGATGATGATAATGACGATGAAGATGGAGATGATGATGCTGAATGATGCTGAATGATGCTGAATGATGTTGCATTGATGCTGAATGATGATGATGTTGCTGATGATTGTGTACAGCTTTGAGTAATTGTGATGATGATGAATGATGATGAATGATGCTGATGAATGCTGATGAATGCTGATGAATGATGATGATGATGATGATGAATGATGATGATGATGATGTTGATGTTGCGTTTGGCCTTCTACTGCGCGGGATGAGGGAGCAGGTGTGGGACCTGCGGCGACTGATAGCGGAAACGACGGGTCTACCGGGCGATCGCTTGTCGTTAGTGGTGGGTGGGAGAGCTCTTCCCACCACAAATTCTGACGGTTCGCCGAACCTTCAGCCAGCCAATCTCAAGGACGGGGGTAAGTAAACGGGGTTGAAGAAGAATTCATTTGCGTTGTTGTTCTCTCCCTTCGTTTGTTTGTTTTTAATATTGTTTTCGCTTTTTTTTTTTCTTGCTTTTTCGTGTTTTTCTTTGTCTGTATTTGGTGTGTGTTTGCGCTCTTGTTCTTTTCTTTTCGGTGTGTATGTCTGTCCCTACTGCTCACCCTTCAGACACCATTGTTCCCACCGTAGACGTTCTGCATTTCTTTTTGTTCATCGCTGTACGCTGATTAGGAAGTGTAATTCTGTGCGTATCTTGCTCATGATGCTTTTCGGTGTGTATTACTGCATCATCTTGCATTTCTTTTTTTTTTTTTTCATCGCCGTACGCTATGTCTGTCCTCACTGCCATTTTTCATCTTAAACTCGTACGCCAAAAAGAAAAAGAAGAAGAGGAAAGTGGTGTTTGTGCATATTACTTAGAGCGGCTCAACAAACATCATCAACCACCCTTCAGACACCACTTTACTCTTTTCTTGTTCTTGTTTTTCTTTTTTTTGTTTTTTTTTGGGGGGGGCGGGGGGCCGAAGGGGGGGAAAAGGTTGGGGATGATGTCTGTCTGCCGCTCATGTCTTGAGCCTGCCTCTGATTCATTCATCTTTTGCTTTCCTTTATCCCTGTGTGTGTGTGTGTGTATGGGTGGGTGGGTGGGTGTGCGTGTGTGTGTGTGTGTGTGTGAGTGAGGTTCAGCTTAGCAGGGAAGTACAGGGGTTTGCCTCTCTCTCTCTCTCTCTCTGTGACTCTCGCTCTCTCTCCTCTCTCTCTCTGTGCCTCTCTCATCGGCTTGTGTGTTTGCAGGATCGAAGAAATAAAGAGTGAAAAGAAGTCGAGAAAGAAGAAGAGAGGAATAGCTGCGACAACAGTAGGAAGACGGGGAGGAGGAGGACGAGAACGAGGGGAAGAAGAAGCAGCAGAGGAAGAAGAGGAGAAGCAGCAGGAAAAGGAGGAGAGGAGGAGGAGGAAGGGGACGACGAGGAGAGCAGCAGCAGCATCAAAAGGAGGCGAGGAGGAGGAGGTTGAGGAAGAGGAGAAGAAGCAGAAGAAGAAGAGCATCAGCAGCAGCAAATGGAGGAAAGGAGGAGGAGAAGAAGAAGAATCGGTAGAAGAAAAGCAGCAGCAGCAAGTTAGCAACAAAAGGAGCAGTGGCGAAGAAGAAGCAGAAGAAGAAGAAGAAGAAGAAGAAGAAGAAGAAGAAGAAGAAGAAGAAAGCAGAAGAAGAACAAGAATTGTAATGGTAATTGTAATAGCAAGGGCAATCGCTACGCATCTACTCTGACAACTGAATGACAAGGAACTTTTGCATGGAAGGAGAAGAAGAAGAAGAAGAAGTTTAATACACCTCCCCATGTTCTGTTGCGCCTGTGCGGAGCATGGCAGGCCCTAATATCACAACAGGATAACGGTGGCTTACTGTGAGTGTATCCTAACGGTCGTCCTAAGCATTCACCGTTATCTGTGGTGCGAGAATGCCCTAATAAGAACTCCAGGACATGCAATCAGTGGGACCTGCAATCATTGAGATCTGCCATCAGTGGTACCTTCAATCAATCAGGGGGACATGCAGATAGTTAGTTGGAGCTGCAATCATTGGGACGACCGCAAGTCCGACTGGTTCCACCAGGTCCCAATAATGGGACTTCAGGTCCCTGTCACGTGCATGTGCTCCAACGGGCACCGCAAGTCCGACTGGTTCCACCAGGTCCCAATAATGGCAGCTCCCTCTGATTCCAGGTCCCACCGATTGCCGGTCCCACGAGTCCCATTCCAATCGAATCATGCCTGGTGGGTGAGGCTGGGCATTCTGAGCACCACTTGGCATGTTGCTTTTGAGGGCTGGGAATCAATCAATCAATCAATCAATCAATCAATCAATCAATCAATCGGCAGACGTCATAACGGTAAACAACTATTCCCTGACTTGGCACAGTCTTTCTTTTCACTTCTTTTGACTAATTAGGTCGAATTGGATTTTTTTAAAAAGAGGTGAAGAAAATTACTGTAAAAAACACAGAAAAAAAAAGAGGATGATTTCTTAATTTTTGGGAGTTTAAAGGGTCTAACAGTCAACCCCTACGTGCCTATTCTCAATATATAGTATATACTATATAGTACGCACAGAACTTGAAAAAATGTTTTGAATCTTTGATTGGGTGATTAACGGTCACATCTGTGTACCGTACACACATCAACAGTTACATGTGTGTGCCGCACATGCTGATCCGTTGATCTGTTGATCAACGGTCGTATTTGTGTGCCGCACACGCGGGGACGCTCCCTGGTTGTTTGCCACGTGGGGATGTTTTGGAAATCTGTGTGGGAGTTCTCTTGTTTCCTTTTTCTTCTTCCTTCTTCTTCTTCTTCTTGAAATCTGTATGTGGTTTCTGAGATACGCTGGGACGCTAACTCGTCGTGTGCCACGTGGATGGTTGTGAATGTGTGTGGGATTATCAGATACGCTCATTGCGATGGCAGTGCCTCGTGCTCCTCCTAAGGAGATAACAGCTTTGAGGACCGGGATAGCTGGCGCTGGAGATCATGACGATGACGAGGACGAGGACATGGTGGGTGAGAATGTCCATACCTACATCCATAAACACACCGGCCTACATCATCCACAAACACACCTGCCTACATCATCCACAAACACGCGGACATCATCCACAGTAGTTATAGATCCGTACATCTGGGCCGAAGGCCCTGCTGAGTGCACACACCGATTGGAAGTGGCGACCTCGGCCTCAAGAGCCAAGTCTCTTAACCACTACAGCCAGGACGCCCACATCATCCACAAACACCTCCTGCCATAACACTTGTGCCAATTGAGCACCTGCCGCGTGATTTAGGACGTGGTTACACACCTGCACTGTTTGGAATGTGTAGTCCATGGGACAGTTCAACCACATTTTTACTGCCAAAATCCAACAACGTTGAAAGTGTTAACTAATTTAATGAATAAGGAATGTAATTAATAATTTCTAGCAATTGTTTTTTTTCTTTATTTTCTAATTTCATTTAATTTTAAGAAAAATGTCCCAGTTAATACGTTACTGTTCATTATATAAAATAAAAGAAACTAAATAAATAATAAATTTACAATAGTTGTTTTTATGCGCTTGTGAAACCACCAGTTCCCATGAAACCACCAAGTAGTGCTCTTACAGGTATACGGTATAAGAGCATTTTGATTCGGGCATGGGCCGGCAACGAAAGCAGCAGGCCACTCGAAAAATAGTTATGGAGAATAACTCCTAACAACGCAATGCCGGGCTTCTTAACCAAAGCATTGTTTCACTTCTCCCTGTATGATTCGAGCTGAAGACCATAGTGAAGTTCTGACTAGAGGTGTTGAAGACCATAATGAAGTTCTTACCAGAGGTGTTGAAGACCCTAGTGAAGTTCTGACCATAGTGAAGTTCTGACCATAGTGAAGTTCTGACCAGTTCTGACCATAGTTCTGACCATAGTTCTGACCATAGTTCTGACCATAGTTCTGACGATAGTGAAGTTCTGACCATAGTTCTGACCATAGTGAAATTCTTACCATAGTGAAGTTTTCTGACCAGAGTTGAAGACCATATTGAAGTTCTGGCCAGAGTTGAAGACCATAATGAAGTTCTTACCGTAGAACTTACGTGTTGATATTGCGGGGGAAAATGGAACAATGCTTTGGTTCAGAAGGCGGGCGTTGTGTTGTTCGGAGTTATTCTTCTTTCAGCCAGGCTGCCAGAGTGATATTGCATGGAGGGTGACTTTCTTGGTGAGGCATTGGGAAGAGAGATACTGGCCTCACCGTTGGTAAGGAGCTACCGCCGTCCCCCGACTAGAACGTACGGTCGTAACAGCAGTATTTGGACCACATAGCAGTCTCGATGCAATGATAAATGATTGTAAATTCTAGCCATTGGAAGACGGTATGATGATCATTGTTGAGGTGGCAAGAAGAGAGTAGAGTGCGTGGAGGTAGAACGGGGAAGGTGAGAAAAGACAGAGTAGTACCAGTTGAGTATTATTTTGAGTTTATCCTCCTCCTCCTCGTACTCTGAGACTCTCTTTGGGATTGTCTTCATTTGCTCATTGTGTCAACGAGATTGGCGAACAATCGTGAACGACAACAACAAAAATGTACAAAAAGAAAAAAAAAGCCTCAATTTCATGCATGATGTTGATCGTGTGAGCTTCTCAGCTTTGGGTTCATTACATTGTTCACATGACAACTGGTTATGATGTAACTAGTCACTAATAAATATACTAATAAATATTACTAAATCATAAGGATGATTAATATATCGACAACCCTTTGGATAGACTAATTGATCACAATTAAACCTCCAGTTCACTGGAGCCTAAGTCCACAAAGCTACCGTCCAAGGCTTGCGAGCCTGAGACAGCGCCTTTTCAAAGTGGCTTGGAGCGTCCACTACCAGCCCATGCGCGAATCGAAAAGCTGTTACCGCGTGAACGGGAAAGAGCCTTACGCTGCTTTGGGGGAACTGGTGGCTTAAGGCAACTTTAAAAGGATGCAAGCATGAATACCTAGACATGGCTTGAAAGAACATACATGCAAGTGTCTATGTATGTTGTTATATCAATGGATGTGTAACTTGCACGACATTTATTGTTTGCTCACATCATTCGTTGACAACTGGCCTGTCCTTTTATCTGACTGGGTATTTTGCCTTTGCCTTTGACTTCACCTTTGTCTTTGCCTTTGTCTTTGCCTTTGGCTTTGCCTTTGCCTTTGACTTTGACTTTGACTTTGCCTTGGCTTTGACTTTTGACTGTCACAGAAATTTAACCCTCATGGTATCTCCCCTCCTTGGAAGCGAAAGCTGGCTATCTTCTTAAAGGACAAGTTAAGGCTTCCTGGTAAGTGAGTGTACCATTTAAGATGACGACAGTTACAGATGCATGCCGTGATTGAAGGACCCGATTACATCCGAGCTGCGTTTTGCCATGGTGGACTCTCGCTCCGTGCCAAGCTTTGCTGAACAGCCAGCGACACATTTCTTTTCTTTTTAAGCTGGCACTGCCAGCCATTGCGGTCCGGTAGCACGGAGCCCCCAATTCTTGCAGATTGGCTTGATTTTGATTCTCAAGTTTGCTGTACTAGGTTTAAGATAGCGTTCGTACGTCAGAGGTGTGCATACCACCTTTGACATGTAGGGTATGGGATGGATGGGTACCGTACCACCTTTAAAATGTGAGGTAAGGGACCTATGGGTACCATACCTCCTATGAAGGTGGCACCATACCACTTTTAACATATAAGGTATGGGACCTATGGGTACCATACCACCTTTACGATGTGAGGTATGGGACCTATCGGTACCATACCTCCTATGAAGGTGGCACCATACCACCCTTAACATATACCACCTTTAAGATGTGAGGTATGGGACCTATGGGTACCATACCTCCTTTAAAGGGGGCACCATACCACCTTTAACATGTGAGTCCCATACCACCTTTAAGATGTGAGGTATGGGACCTATGGGTACCATACCTCCGCTAAAGGTGGCACCATACCACCTTTAACATGTGAGGTATGGGACCTATGGGAACCCGTTAAGATGTGGGGTATGACCGTATGAGCACCAAAATCTCACCCCATTGCACAGTCTTTCATTTCTTATTTGTTACGAACATGTCACTGCAATTTTTGTTTGCACTCTCATGTGTTGGGTTGTGCTCTTGTGGGCCTAATGGCACCCGAGTGGATTTTATGTTTCGCAGTTTACAGTTACTCTATGCTATAGGAAGAGTACTAATACTACTAAATAAATAATTCAGCTTTGGTCACAGGGCCCTTTTCTGGGGGAAAAATTATAGATCCCCCCTGCGACAAAACATCTGTACTCGTTTGCCCCTGCGATTGTGGCCTCCCCCCCCGTGCCTCAAGCCTTTCGGGGCCTCTGACATTTCGGGGGGGCCAACGAGTACAAAAAAAGTTACAAAGTTACATAAACCTTTTGTCGCAGGGGGGATCTTTAACTTTCCCCCTTCTTTTCAAATAAAATCAGTGCAATGAACCCAGCCAGATGAGAAGCTCACGAACGTCGATATACAAGTCCGTCACGGCACGACATCAATGTCCCCAAAATCGTTCATGGAACCGTACTCGTCACACATGTAGTCTCCAAATGTCTCGAAACCAGAGTAGAGAATGAGGAGAGGGGTAGATGAGACAGGGAGGAGGATGAGGAGAGTTCCCACAACGAAGCAGGTCCCCACTTGAGCGCTCTTTCCCTTTCGGGCATTCCTTCCACCAACTTGCCATGTCAGCAAAACAGTTCCTCCCTGACGATCTCTGACACAGAAGGGCACCCATCCGCCTGCCACATCAGCGGCAGCTGAGGATGATGGCGCAGGTCTCCTCCTTGAGGACGATGAGCAGCAAAGCACATGCGTCGTCGCAGGGACGTCCAGGTAAGCTTCTCCTTCGCCCTCGTATCACTCTCACGGTCCAGATCCTCCTCCTCCTCGCCTACTCCCTCGTCAACGTCGCAATCAATGTGGCTATGGCCATGTCAGCATAACCGCCCTCAAGGCTGGCGCTGCACACAGAGAATGGCGCCAGCATGGAGCTCCCGCAGTCTCGCGTCGTCGCACTAGCATCGAGCCAGCGTCAAGCAGAACGCACAAGACTGAATGATCTCAGGCAGGGGCTGGGTCAAACTTATAATGTCGACTCACGTTGACCAGCCTATGGTCTCCCGGGTGCGGCGGCCCAGATCTGTCGCCGGCAGCCGATGGCATGGATGTCGTACAGTTGCAGATTTCCCACGTGTCCCACTTGGACCAGATTCTTCTGGATACCTGCAGACCACCGATGATGTGTGTCCGATCCACGGCCGAGGCTGACAGACGGGTTGACTTTGACTTCTAGGCCTGAGTTCCCAAGCTGGGGTTGATCGTTGACTTTCCCTGGGTCAACTGCTTCACGTAGGGCCTCTGAAGGTCCCATGTGGTATGCTGCGCAGCCACACGGGCCTGCAGGGCCTGTCCTGCAGTCTCAGCCTAAAAGCCTAGAAACAAGGGCTTACAGGCCCCGTGTCTGTGTCAGCCTGACAGCCTGAAAACCAGGGCCTACAGGCCCCATGTCTGTTTCAGCCTGACGGTCTGAAAACCAGGGCCTACAGGCCCCGTGTCTGTTTCAGCCTGACAGCCTGAAAACCAGGGCCTATAGCCCCTCAGGCTTTAGCCAGAAGCTACCTGGAAACTTCCGGAAGCTTCCTCAGGCTTTAGCCAGAAGCTACCTGGAAACTTCCCGGAAGGTTCCTCAGGGTCTAGCACGTTTGGGTATTGGCAAGAGCAGCCTCCTGGACGGGCCAGCACTATAAAAGACTGGCCCGCCCTACAGGCAAGGAGAGTTGATAGGGACTGGCCAGGCACTTCACGTGCAGTCCAGGCAGAAGGCAGGAGGCAGTCTTCAGGATTCGGCAGCAGCACTCTGGAGGAGCGCTGCAGGAGTAGTCTTCAGCGCTGGGCGCTAGTAGCTGCAGGAGTAGTCTTCAGCGCAGGGCGCTAGTAGTAGTAGTAGTAGTAGTAGTAGTGTTGGAGAGAGATGGCTGGCGGAGGCCAGTGAGACTTACCTGTGGCGCCATAGCTCCAGCTCCATCTTCGAGGTACCTGCATCAAGGCGCCAGCTTCGCAGGTTAGTACCGGACAGAGAGAGAGAGAGAGTTCTGCTTCTTCCTCTTCTCAGTCCACCATCTCTTCTTCACCCTCTCACTACCTGACTTCTCAGTATCTGCGGACTACGAGAGAGAGAGAGAGAGAGAGAGAGAGAGAGAGAGAGAGAGAGAGAGAGAGAGAGAGAGAGAGCTGTGACTTGAGACTTGAGGACATTGGATCCAGACTCGACATTGGGATTCAGACATTTGACGGGGATTATTTGGGACCTGTATCGCAGACTTGGTGTTGACAACATTCCCATCTTCCCCTCTTCTTTGTCTAACCCCCCTCTTCTTCGTCTGTGTATGGCGGGGACTGGCGCATTCTTCCTGTGCGAGCGCCAGGCCCCTTCCCACCATGGAATGATGATGATGTGTGTTTGGGGCTGCATTGCAACATTGATTGTTCGGATCATTGGTATCTAAGTCTTCTGCTACGCTATCTTGTACTTTGTGAGAGAGGTCGGTTCTTGTGGTTCTTGTTCTGGTCTGCACCGTTACGGTATGCAACATCCCAGTTTCGACCTTGCCCTGGGTAGTACCCCATCGCATCAGGCCCTCGTCCAAGCGTTAACAGGACAGGACTTAGGTCGTGACTTTTGACCCCTGTTTCTTCGGGCCTTTGACCAAAAGTGACGACCCTAGAGCCCACGGCTAATGCAGATTTGAGCTGAGTTATTGCATCGGGTGTGGTAAGTTCAACTTCTGAATAGTAATCCCGAGACTTACATTCAAATTTCAAAGTCTTACATTCAAATTTCAAACCGATGATGCAACGAATAATTTAATAAATGTATATCGGTACTATATCCCAGAGGTGAAGTCACAGTGGTAGGGCAGCAGTGGTTGACCCTTGGTCTCTGGACATTGACTGTGATGTTGTGCCATTGCCGCTGTGACACAGATCTCCTGTTGATTGTGATTTTCTCGATCAAGCTTCACACATGGGTGCTGATCATCGCATGGCTTTGCTTGTCGCCGGTTGCTGCGAAATGGGACCTTGGGCCAATCTATGTAAGTGCAATCCATCCGCTTCCACTGATCTAACTGTCGGTTTTCATTTTCAAAGTTGAACCATTTCTCAGCTTACGCATGTCGTCCTTCTGCAGGGGGCATGCTAATCTTCTCTTCTCTTCTCTGCATCATTCCAAATCTTAACAGATGTCCCATAGGACATCCACTGATCTTGTTTGCCCCCCTTCCTCCTCCTCTCTCTTTTTTTTGAAACAGCGATGGCCTTGAGATATTATAATTGAACTGACCGGACTCAGGTAATTCAGAATGATTTTATTAGATTTATTCTGTTCATCTGGTTGCTTCGGGTCTGTATTTCACTTTTCAAGCTTTCGACAGTTCATGGGTGTACAATCTGACCTGCCGTCTTCCCCCCGAAATGAGAATGGCACTGTCGTTATGTCTGTGCAATCAGACTCGCTATCTTTCTCACTCCGCATGCATGCAAAGCAGATGATGAGTATTCTGGCGCCAGGCACCCACACAAAGCTCAGAGAAATACAAGTCGAGAACACAGGTTCGATACAAACTCGCTTCAGATTATCGATGGCGACCAAGCGCCCAACTCTCTCTTACAGCCAACCCGTACTTCCACTGCTTACACACGCACGCACACCTCACAGGCGATCTCCCTGGATATCCCACGCACACACACTCTCTCACTGTACACGAACACACACACACACACACACACACTAGACACCTCACTTCCTATCGCAGCTATGGCGGGCGCCTACGCAGCACTACAAGCGGCTATGTCCACTCTATCTCGCCAACTGCCCACTTCAACTTCGGGCTTCCTGCAGACCACCTAGCACAAGGGGCACTGGCAGCGCTTCCGCAAGGATCACCGCAGAATGCTCCCATTGCTGAACGCTGCCTCTTGATTTATACTTCTGTTGGCTGCTGGTCTTCCCCTTTCCACCGGCCCTTTGGTGCACACAGTCCCACACGGTACTTGCTTGACTGGACTAAGTGTGACTGGGACCGGTACCGCTGATTGAATGGGGTTGCACTGCCGACTCGATGCAGTTGGACTTGCGACTTACCTACAGACCTCTCGCCTAGCAGTTTCGACCTCTACACAGCTGCAACCCCTACTTGACAGATCTACAGATCGAACCCCTACAGCTACAGGGACCTACGACAAACAACAGTCACTACTAAAACACAGGTCGCAGGCTCAAAACACACAGGGTTCTACTCGATACTGTACACGGGTGCAGGTAAGGTCTAGGGATTGAACCCTGGGATCTACGTCTGCTTCTGCAAAGGTGAAAACTGTTTCATCTGTGTTTGGGGGGGCAAGTTTCAGTCTGGAGACAGAGTAAGTCATCGTAGTTCTATTCGTGGGGAGGACGGTAGCCCCGTTGGCGCACTGGTCTCATGGTAATAATGTTCAAACTCGAAAGAGAAACATTTCCTTGTTTCAAGTCGTCTACTTACAAATTCATGCCGCTGTTGAAATGGAAGGCACAAAATCAAGTGTCTTGGGTGAATAGGCACGAGCGCACGGAAAAGTGTACCGAGGAAGGCACAAATATACCTGAGACTCATTCTTTCAACGTGTCATTATGGTGGACAACTCTTCGATGACAGGCGATCGATCACAAGAGCAAGAAAAAAGTGCCCAACGAGCAAGTAGCGGAAAGCAAAACGAAAAGTGTGCGCAATAAGTAAGTAGCTAAACGCAAAGCCACATGAAGCGTTTGTTACGTAAGTGAAAAGTTGGAATGTAAGCTGGTAGTTTACAAGGGAAATGTGGGGCCATTGAAAGAAGAAAAAGAAGCTCACACAAGGGAAGCGAAAAGCGGAAAATGGTAGAGGCATGAGAGACGGCGGATACCGGGAAAGATGCAAGACACAGTTGAGGTGATTGAGAGGATGAGACAATAAAGGAATAATTCAAATAAATACCAGGCAGGTGGGTCAGCTCAGCTGGTATGGTTAGTCAGTAGGAATCGGTTCAGACTCTTCAGAGCTGACGGATCAGGTCGAGTACACGGTCAGTCAAATCGGATGGAGTTGGTTGGCTGGATTGGTCAGGATGGGTGGTTGGTCAGGCAGATGGGTTAGTGGCTTGCAGCTGGGTGGCTGTACAGAGTGGTGGCCCACCGACCCGCCCATTCACCCGACCGACCACCGAACCCGACTGGTTCAGAGGAACCAACAGCTGGGCAGCGGTGGGAGGGGGGTGGTTGTTCAGCCACTCAACCATCTATCAATTAATCAGTCCTATTCCCAGTGTCGTTGACAAAATAACGAACAGAATGGATGTCCGGTCATACGCTGTGGCCATTCCAGTCCATTCTATCTGATGAAGCTGTCAGTCTGCCTATGTCGCCACCTCCCTGTCGTTTGTTTACTGCCTTGTCTGTCTGCCTGCCAGTCTGTCTTCAAGTCTTGATGTGCTCCTTGCCTTGTCTCTCTGTGTTTGTCTCCATTGCTCCTGGTGTGTGTGTGTGTGTGTGTGTGTGTGTGGAAAGCAGAATTACAAAGCCGAGATCACACTAAATGAGAGCACACGAACACTGAAGTCTGTTGATAAAGAAATCCTAACTTCTCACCTCCAGTCATCAACACGAAGTTATTACAAAGTAATACAAACACAATATTGCAGCTCTACTATGATGTGACGGCTTAGACCACTGTCCTACTCTCTCTATAGACAGCTATTTCTCTCCCTCATATTCTCTTCTCTCTCTCTCTCTCCACCCTACTCTCGCCTAGCATTGGCTAGCAATGTTGCAGAGAGCCTGCCCACACGAGTGTGCTCTTTGGACATCGCCACTTAAAGTCCGCCTGTTCCATTCTTCTCCCCAGCGCCACACTGCTTCCATCCGGTGCCGTGGCTGCTCCTCACCCTTCTTCTTCAATGAGCGCGGGCCTGGCCCTGTGTGTTTTGCCAAGAGCTACTGTCTTCCCCCGAATAGAACGTACGGTCATTATCGCTGTATCTGGACTGGAAGTTGCCAAGGATACAGGCATAATGACCTTGCGTTCTATACGGGGGAAGAAGGTCGCGGTGGCAGCCCGTGCCTCCGAATGCGTGGAAGGCTCGTACCTTATCCTCCCTTTTGTTGTTTCCCTGAAGCCCACAGCTGCCTGACTGGGACTGTGCTCTTACCAGACTGAGAACCCTCCAGAGTCCATACTGAGTGGCAGGGCCCCAGCCTGTGCAACTAACCTGAAGGCTGGGCCTACCGATTACCTTCGTCCCCCGAATACAACGTACGGTCATTATAACTGAATTTAGACTGAAAGATACCCCAAATACAGCTATAGTTACCGTACGTTGTATTCGGGGGAAGAAGGTAGTTGTAGAGGCTGCACCCAGCCTTCCTTCCAACTGTTTTTTCACGCCGAGTCTTCACTCAGGGCTGGGGGATCCTTTTCTCCTTTCGAAAGTGAAAAAAAAATGGCTGGCATATCCTCTTTTTTTCTGCTTGTGCCTGACCGCAAGGGTACTGAGGTATGGTACAAAGGTGGGGATGTCATCCCCACCACCAACCCCCAACCCAACCTCCCCCCCCCCCCCCCCCCCCCCCCCAACCCCAAACAAGAGGGATGGTCTTGTGGGGGGGTGGTTATGTAATAATGCCATTATTATGTCAAACAAAGAGATAATGTCAAACAAAGAGATAATGTCAAACAAAGAGATAATGTCAAACAAAGAGAGAACTCAGAGGGGGGGGGTGCATCCACATAGCAAAAGGTTGAACACCAGCCAGGCATGCCCCCCCATAAAGACAACTTTCAGTCCAGATACAGCGATAATGGCCATACGTTCTATTCGGGGGAAGAAGGTGGCTCTTGGCAAAACGCACAGGGCCAGGCCCGCGCTCATTGAAGGCGACTTTGTTTTGTTAAAAAAAAAAAAAAAAAAAAAAAAAAAAGAAGCCACCTTTACTGAAGCTGTACAGGGCATGCCCCCCCCATAAGGACAACACATGACAACGAGGTGGCATGGAACAACAAGGGGTCGTCGTGGAAGGACTACGCGTAGGGGAAAATTTGACTAATTGTTTTGTAGAGCTTTGCTTGGCGGTGATAAGCAACCGCACTGATGCCCCCCAGAATAGAAGGGGACTTTGTTTTGTTAAAAAAAAAAAAGCACGTACTGTGCTGGGGTGGGGCGGATATCACGGCCCGTATGGTTCTGCTTTTGAACACCGTGTCCTGGCTGTGGTGGTTACGATACGTGGCTCTTCTTGAGGCCGAGGTCGCCGGTTCCAGTCCGTGGTTGCACGGAGGGGAGATGAGGCCCAGAGGTACAGATCCAATAACAATAACAAGGATTCACTGCAGTGATGCAACAAGTTTAATAAAAAAAAAAAGAAGCAGAAAAAAAGAAAGGGTTACATAAGACACTGGAACAGGGAGGCGAACAGGCTGTGCTCGCACAAACTAGGAACAAGAATCTGATTTTGGCGATGGCAAGAGCTTCGGGGAGAGAAGACGCGCGCAATGCAGGGTGCGATGAGATTAGGCTATGGACATGGCATGCCTGGAGAGAGCATGAAGACCCATATGCCAATACGCTATGGATAAGCAATCCATGGTCCAGTCCATCAACATGAAGACCCTGCATTTGTGTGCCAGGAACAAACAGAACTCGACAGCGAAACCAGGAACAAACGGGACTCGACAGCTAAACCAGGAACAAACGGAACTCGACAGCTAAACCAGGAACAAATGGAACTCGACCGGGGAACAAACGGAACTCGACAGCTAAACCAGGAACAAATGGAACTCGAACAGTTAAGCCAGGAACAAACAGAACTCGACAACTGAACTGGGTAACAAATGGAACTCGAACAGCTAAGCCAGGAACAAACAGAACTCGACAACTGAACCGGGGAACAAATGGAACTCGAACAGCTAAACCAGGAACAAACGGAACGCGACAACTGAACCGGGGAACAGCATAAAAAGGTTCCAAGGCGATCGATAGACCGGACGTGGAGAGAAGCTGCCCTGCTTGCGCCCAATCGAAAACCGAAAGAGAGAATGGAAACAGAGAGAGAACAGGTGCAAGTGCCATGAAAACCGTACAGGGAGAAAACCCGTTTCAGCAAGGGATGCTGACTCAGGTAAGGCAACAGCAACATAGCATACATCGACGAGGACTCTATCTAGGCTATTGTTGACAGCTACCGTCTTCACCCGAATAGAACGCCCATTCATTTAATAATTTCATTATAGCCGTATTTGGTGCAATTTTCAGTCCAGATTGCCGCTATAATGACCGGGCTTTCTATTTTGGTGAAGACGGTAGTATACCTAGAAGTGGAACACAGAACGCATAGTTTGACACAAGAGAGAGACCCACCCAATACCCACCACCGCCAATCGGATCCGCGGGACCGACACAGAATCTCAGGCTAAGAAATGGAAAGAGTACCCATGGAGAGAAGCCTCCCTCAGAATGAGATCCGCAGGAGTTAAAGCACCAGTACACCACATATCGGCCCGCGGGTGTCAGTATGAAACCCGCACCACTTCGGCGGCCGTCGATTCTTTTTTTCAACGGCGGGCCTGGCCGCGCGGCGCCTCCCAGTCTTGCTTGTGGCGACAAAAACTTTCTGCAAGGCTGGGGCCTCGTACTAGCCGTTTAAGAGGAGCATGAAAGACAAACAGGACGATGCACAGGCCTGTTCTGCACCAATTCAGAAAGATTGCAGTTGTGCTAGATAGAAGAAACAACAAAGGGCACGGACTCCACTGAACAGGGGAGTTTTGTCTGTGCTGTTGAAACTTACTTGCCGGTGGAGAAGGAACTGGAAGGACGGAAGGTTGTCAGAATAGAATGGTGTGCAAGGACCACTCAAAAAGGTCACGGTAAAAAAAAAAAAAAAAAAAAAAAAAAAAAAAAAAAAAAAAAAAAAAAAAAAAAAAAA